ATTGGTGGTTATCAAACCTCTTTTAGTGGTTATCAAACCTCTTTTGGGGGTTATCAAACCTCTTTTGGTGGTTATCAAACCTCTTTTGGTGGTTATCAAACCTCTTTTGGTGGTTATCAAAGCTCTTTTGGGGGTTATCAAACCTCTTTTGGTGGTTATCAAACCTCTTTTGGTGGTTATCAAAGCTGTTTTGGTGGTTATCAAACCTCTTTTGGTGGTAATTAAACCTCTAATGGTGGTTATCAAACCTCTTTTGGTGGTTATCAAACCTCTTTTGGGGGTTATCAAACCTCTTTTGGTGGTTATCAAACCTCTATTGGTCGTTATCAAACCTCTTTTTGTGGTTATCAAACCTCTTTTGGTGGTTAACCTCTTTTGGGGGTTATCAAACCTCTTTTGGTGGTTATCAAAGCTCTTTTGGTGATTGTCAAACCTGTTTTGGTGGTTATCAAAACTGTTTTGGTTGTTATCAAAGCTCTTTTGGTGGTTATATAACCTCTTTTGGTGGTTATCAAACCTCTATTGGTGGTTATCAAAGCTCTTTTGGTGGTTATCAACGTAGTTATTTAATGAGTTTTTTTAAAAACAGAAAAAAAAAGAAGTTTCCATCACAAAAAGCACTGCTGACGTCATTGTAAATGTTCTACGCAAATGAAAAAGAAAATTACATATAAAAATCAACTTACGGGAAAATCCTTGCTAAATATTTCCAAGTTTTAACATAGGCAAAAAGAAAAAAAAAACTATTGAGTGAAAAGGTCAAAAGGTCTATGCATTTTTATGGGTTATCAAAACTGGTCATTTTATAAATCGTATGTGAACGGTGTTATTATGTATTTTTGTTTACAAAATAGTAGAAATTTCCCAATATTCAGTTGATTTAATTTTTTTTTTTTTAAATTTCAAACTACTATATATTGTTCTAAATAAATTGCAAATTGCCTCTTAAATAATGTATTTTAATTTTTAAGTTCATGATTATGTTTGTTAAATTGCATGTACAGTGTGGTAAGCCCAGACCTAGGCTGGGGTACAGCGCTATATAAAACCACTAATAATAATAAATAATTAATATACTTTAAAACATTTATTTCCACAATTCCACATGATTTATTTTTAAATTGACAAATTTATTCTAAATCAAGTAACAAAAAAAAAAAATGGAATTGACATGATAATCGAAATGCTAGTTACTCTTATTTATTTTAGCTTTCTGTTAGATTCCAATATTGAAAAACATATATATTATTATCTAAAAATCCTTGCAAAACGATGGGACAGTTTGTTTTTTATTCTAATATTAAAACGATAAAATCTGGTGGGAATTTAATAAATATTGCCTAAATATTTGGTTAAACCTCTGTTATTCAGAAACTTTGTTACAAACGTAGCACGTTTAAAGAAAACACAAACGTCTTCGATTTAATAATTAATGAAATGTGTAGGCCTACTATTGTATACGATAATAAAATGAGTAAAACAGAGTATGGTTAAACCTGAAAAATTAAACGTAACAAAACAGCGAACGTGTCGGCAGAAAGCCTTCGTCAGCGAACAAAACAACAGAAAAAACGTTATAAAAATAAGAAATAGCACTTAGCTGGTAAGTAGTATCTGTGGGCAGCAATAGAAGTGTGGCAGAAGGAAACGTAACAAAACAGCGAACGTGTCGGCAGAAAGCCTTCGTCAGCGAACAAAACAACAGAAAAAACGTTATAAAAATAAGAAATAGCACTTAGCTGGTAAGTAGTATCTGTGGGCAGCAATAGAAGTGTGGCAGAAGGAAAATGAGTGAGAGTTTAAATAAGCAGCGGCGAAAGAAAGAGGGGAGAAAAAAGTTCACTGTGATAGGTCAGAACGTGGAGGGGCGGAGCTAGGGTCAAGCTGTGAACAGAGACATAACATTAATCCCATCTGGCGTCAAAGTGCCGTATGTCAGGATAAGTCTGTGTTCCAAATTGACCCGGCTGGTGGTGTTAGTGCTAGCCACAATCGCACTTATTGAAAAGTCCGCCTTGCCCCGGTGGTCGCTACTATTGAAGTGTTTGGAGATCGATGTTTAAGAAAAACACGTTTAGCAATCAGATTGTGAGGGTGATAAGTTAAAATGAGTTTAGTCCTGTCAACATTGTCGCTCAGACGTGGTCTGTTTATTGTATACGAACGGTAAATTCTTAATTTATTTTTAAAAATCTCTCAATCTTTTCAAGTTTCCATTTGATTTAACTCAACATTCATGAAATCGACCAGTCTACATTTATGGTTATGCGAATAAAAATATTTTTAAAGCGTAATATCATGATACAATTTATAATTAACACATATCTCTACTTTAAAAGTAATGCTTTTTATATGCTTTTATAATGAAAATTAATTAGAACATAGACTGCGTATGTTTGTTACTTGGCAACATTTTTGTAGTCCCTGATCTTGATGTAAAGGTATTTTAATGCAGCATTATTAAAGTCTTAAAATTTGTGAATGTGTACAAAAATTAATGAATGAAACTATCCATGTGTGCGATCGACAGGAAGTGGAGCTTCGGCTAGCAATTAGAAGAGGCCAGTACGATATTTATAATCGATAACTGTAAGCCTATAACACAGCAGTTCTCAATCTGTGGATCACGACCCCTTTGGGGGTTGAACGACCCTTACACAGGGGTCACCTAAGACATATCGAAAAAACACATATTTATGAAGGAGCAAAGAAGAAATATTTATAGCTGGGGAGTCGCCACAACTTGAGGAACTGTATTGATGGGACGCAGCATTTGGAAGGTTGAGAACCACTGCTTTACCAAGATTAGCCTTAAAGAGACGGAGCGTCAAATATATCGAGCGTAGTGATATTTAATAGATTCCATTAATTGTAATCGGATAAAGGCACAAGCTGCTATTTATTTTAAAAACTGTTTAAAAATGACAATTTAATTGTTTTAAATTTTAAAACTATATAATCGGATTTTACCCATTTAGCTCCCGGGGGGGGGGGGGGGGGGGTTCACTTGACTCCCTTTCCCCCCTCCCCCCCTCCCCCGAGAGCTACCTGAAAGAAACTGACCGAGACTGAGATGGCTTGACGATGTAAATGTAGAGAAGGACTTGCGCCGCGAATGGAGTCGGAAAGCCATGGATCGATCCGAATGAAAGTATGAGGTGGAGCCAGGGTTGTCATATCTAGCTGGGACCTCGTCGGGACACTCTAAGATAGGGGGGGGGAGGGGGTGTAGATATGAAGTAAAAATGTATTTACTATAATTACTTATAAGGTCCATAACAGTAGAAAATATATTTATATTTTCATTTCTACTGTTAGCTGAAGAAGGCTTTATGCCGAAACGTCCTTGTTTTTCGTCCTGTTCTCTTATTCAAGCTTCCACATACCTCCTTTTGCTATTTCATTCATTTACTAACAAGGTAACCTAACACTGCTCACACATCAAAACCTTATTTCCAGTTCTTTCCCTTTGAATTGAGGTTGCAGGGAAGTAACCTGAAGTGACGTATTTCCGGGTATGAGTGCTTCTTCTTCCGTGTATCATCATGGTGGGTGGTGTCTTTAGGCACATACTTTAAATAATACTTTTCAAAGTCTTTGTCGTATTAAGTTGTTTCATGTGTTGATTTACAGATCAGTACTTAACTAATTTGTAAAAACGCATTATGTAGGCCAGAAAATCTAAAAAATGTAGCTATTTCTGTGGAAAAGAAAGTTGCCGGGAGAGCTTGTGAAAATGTTTGGTTTGTAGTTGTAGTCGGGTAGTGACCAAACAACGCGGAAATAAAATGTAATCTTAACCATTTTGATATATATAGCATAATTAATTAAACACGAATTTGTGTGACCTAATTTTAAATTGAAAATAGTCTATACGCCTGACAATGATATTTTTCCATTCTTAAATGTAAAGTTTTTATTACTATTCATTCATCTTAGTGTCCCTTCCTTATTACTTGAGTTTGAGACTAAGACTCAGACATGAATCATCATGACCATGATCCCCCTATCAATGTTTGTGTGGACTGTCAGTTTTGTTATGTCATATTCATAGAGCGAAAATATATTATTACGCCTAGACCAAAGGCTTAAAATATAGAATAGAGATAGACATAACTGTCTTAACTGATTCACATTCACTGATTGAACTGATTCTAATCTTTTGGCCTACATTTTTAAATTCTCATAACAACTAATTTTGAGGCATTTGGCCTATGCCTAGTCTGACTGAACTCTACTCCACACTAATTCATAATTAGTAAGCCTCTTATATTTGTCATTAGATTTTAGAAAATAAAAAGAAATATAAAATGAGGTGCAAATTAAAAATTGCTCAACTTAAATCACAAATTAGTCAAACATTAATATTAGTCCTTAGTAGTGAGAAGTAAAATTACCAATCAGTTTGTTAATTTAAGTATTGGAATTCAATATACACAATATACACAAAACAGTCTTTTTATAGGCCTTAAGACATAACCTAATGATAATGAAATAAGGAATCCTTTCAATAGGATTACATGCAGTTATCCATTTTGCTTCCATTGGAAACCAAAATTCACAGTTTGGAAACTCGTAATTAGGGCTAAAAAATTACCAAAAAATAAACACCACCATCTGATGGTTTACTTCCTTTACCTATTTAATACCGGTACTCAAGTGTTTGATTAGGCTATCATTCTGTCTTCATTTAACATTTTTCAATTTGAAAGGCATCTACCCACATGTCTATTGGCTTTCCTGTGGTTCCAATTCAATGGTAGTGCCTCTTGATTAGGAGGTAGAGTTTAAATTTATCCAGGGATCTCATTAGCTATAGGGTAACTGCCTTGTTGACTTGACTTACAACCCAGTTGAAGGCAGGAGGAGGAAATTCTTGCTATTTTTACCACCAATGTCAGAAAAAATGCAACATGTTGTAGGAATAAAAATTGTCACAGTGTTACAATTTAATTTTCTGTTCCTTAACTTATGATTTAATCCCCATTTCATTTATTGAAATTCCTCAGGCAGCCACATTAAAACCATATCTAAATGCAGTAAAAGAAACTCTAAATGCAGCAATTTGCCTCCAAAACTTTGATTCTCAAAATGTCGAGAGGCACAACAAACCAGAGGTTGAAGTCAAGTAAGTCACTTATGCATCTACATTAAAGTCACTTGGGGGGGCAAATCAATGATTGTGTAATATTCATTAAGATAAATTGGCTAATGTGAAGAGATAGCACCCTGACGTCATTTGCATGTTTTTTTTCCCTGGTTCCGATAGGGTCAAAACCCAGGTTAGGAATAAGTTTAGGGTTCAGGTTAGGTTAAGTGATAAATTTAGGACATAAGTTCGCGGGACGCAACAAATGCGGTGCTATCTCTTCACATTTACCGATAAATTATACCGGGTAGTGTTTTATATTTAGTAACACAATTAACATGATTATTTTTTCATATATTCTTTTTTCAGGAGCAATAAAGAATTGCTTTTAACTCCAGTTATCATAAGCCGAAATGAGAGAGAAAGGGTTTTAATTGAAGGCAGCATTAACTCTTTGCGAATCAGTATAGCTATAAAACAGGTGCGTTTTTAATACAAAATGCTAAGTGATTAAGAATTTAGATTCCCCTCTTTGTAAGTGTCTGACACGTAAAACAAACCCTAGTTACTTCATGTCAAATGTTGTCTGCTGTCTTGTCATTAAAGAATAATATATATTTGTACCAAACCCTATAAAGCAACTAAATCCTCTCATCATACTCATACCGAGCTTATCATATACTAAGTTTCATTAAGATTTACTTGTACATTGACATTATCATGCATATTTGTCTTCAGGCTGACGAGATAGAGAAAATTTTATGCCACAAATTTACCAGATTTATGATGATGAGAGCAGAGAATTTTGCTATTTTAAGGAGGAAACAGGTGGAGGTGGGTCACCTAGTATTGCTTATAGTTTTAGAGATTATAAAGAATGAGAAAATGTGTTAATTAGTTTATATACCATTCTCAGTATTTTATATATAATAAAATGGTTTTGGTTTGTTTATTAATTATCTACAATGCCAATAAATTAACTTCAGTTTATAATTTTTATGATTATTTCAGGGGTATGACATTAGTTTTTTGATCACCAACTTTCACACTGAACAAATGTACAAGCATAAGCTGGTAGACTTCATCATTCATTTCATGGAAGAAATTGACAAAGAGATCAACTTCCTGAAGTTGGCTGTCAACTCTAGGGCTAGAATCAGTGCGGAAGAATTTCTGAAAAATTTCTAACACATTCCCAATCATTAGTTACTTTGATTTAGAAGCAAGGTGAGAATTTTAATTTTTATGCTGTTCACATATTATTGTTGTTTGGGACTGAAATCAGTAGTGTAGAAGATGTCCCTAGCACCAGGCTAGTAAGGGGTGTGGCAGATGTGCCCGGGCACCAGTTAGGGGCGCCAAAATGGGCTTTGGTGTTTTTTTTAAAATGAAAATAATGGGTTTCATGTTGGAGGGGGTGGGGGGTGTCACTCTGGTGACAGAACATGGACAAGATTCTTCCTTAACAATAGTTGCTTTATAATTGCATAATGAGAATAATTTAACTTGTAAATACATCCGGTATTGTAAGTCCTGCTGATGCCATGAAATCTGTTTTGTAATTAATTGTTAAGGGAAAAAATTTTAATTCGCACATAACTTAAAATTTTCTCTTCTTCATTTTAGAATTATTTTGAATGTGTTTTCACTTTTTCTCCCCTGTTAGGATTGGTGCTGTTTCTTTTTCAATTGCCAGTCGCAGCATGTTCATAAATATCAAACAGAAAGAGCAACTTTTGTTTCCTCACCTGATACAACTAGCCAAATGGTCTTTAATGTCAATGTGATAAATACAAGACCATCTTCTAGGATGAAGTCTCCGACAATAAGTTAATTAGCATTAGTCTTTACTGGATATAAATATGTGGGAAAATATTTTGGAGTTCATGGCACTAGTTTTATATCACTTGTTAACTCTTTGCCTTTGTGAAAAATAATTGCAGTTGATAATTTTTAAAACAGTTAAGTCTTATTCAATTGAATGCAGAGTCCCTGCATACACTTGATGTCATTATGGTCAAAAGAATTAGTATCTTGATGGCTAAACCTTGAAATTATCATTAGTGCAGACACAAACATGTTACAATTATGGACTGGGCAAAGAGTTGATGCCAAGCAACACAGTGGAGTTTCTTTTTCTTAGTTGATCCATATGTTAAATTATTTCAAGTGTAGCTTATGGGCTAATGAAGTACTGTAAAGTTGATGTATTATTTTTTTTTTAAAGTTATATGAAAATAGTTTATTTTCTTCTTTAAAAATTTCTAGTTTGTCATTTTTGCCACCCTTAAGGCTGGTCTAACGACACATTTATTTTATCTGAAGAACTCAGATTTTAAAATCAGTTAATCAAGTTTACCCTAAGTCTTCAACACTGATGCAAATATTTCATTGATGAAAACAACTGTAAGTCACATGTAAAATTAAAATATGCAAAGGTACCAATATTTCTTTGATCAACTTAAAGGGAAAAAAAATTGTATAGTAATCCAGGTGCAAGTAGTTAAGTAAAAGTAAATTTGGTTCAAGTAATTCTTTGTTTTTTTTTTGGCTAAGAAAGTTTTAACTTGATAGTACTGGTAGCATGTAATGTTGAGGAAATATGACCTTGCTATTTATTTAATTTAAAAAGATTTATTTATGAACAGCTATTTTAATTATTTAGCAAATAATAAAAATAGGCAATGTAACTTTCATCTTAACAACACCCTATAGGCAGTATAACTTTCATCTGAAGAACACCCTATGGTATTTGCTTTGCTTGATTTTGTTGTTGTCATCATCAAATAGCTCTATAGTTACCATGTATTGTAAATAATTTATAACTGAATTCTAACTCATTTAATCTTGACGGTGCAGGAAACTGTTACTTGGACTGTCAATAGAATGAATGTTCATTGTCTTTTTAGATGTGTCTGTGGGCGTTGCACTTTGTTTTGATATGCCAAATTATTAGGATGTGTTCTGTAAGAGATAATCGTGGTCCAAAATATGTTGTTAATTTTTATTACAGGTTGATTTATACATATTGATTAAATGAAGACACTCTGCGACAAGAGGCGGTTTACGTTAATGGTACAGCAAGATAATTTCCTGTTTTTCTGTAAGGCACTTTACAAAACAGATAAATTAATTTGAGTTAAAACAATAAACAAAACGCTTTACTACATGAGAATGTTACAAAACTTTTACTGTTAATATGTATTCCCTAATACTGTTGCTTACATACAATTTTCTACTCTGTTACAAATTTAACTAATAGAAATAAACACCAACTCTTCCAATGATATACTAAATTACCATTGGCCATCTCTGCTTTCATTATCTTTTACTTATAAATACATATTCATATATTAATCAAATGAGACTTTAACAAAACTCTATCCTCCAGAATATTCATTAAATAATGGAAATGATTAAAAAAAACTAAAAAATAATCATCTGAAATTCTGTTGCCAAATATCCAATCTTTTTGATGTTACATTTGTATTGAAAATGCTCTCTTGTGGTTTAAGGTTTGTAAATGTTTGAATGCCATGGAAGATTAAAACCTTTTTCTATTCATACCACCACTGTGACTGATCCTCGGCAGTTGTTTTGTTTATGTTTGCAAGTGGTAAGGTCTTTGAAATAACAATGTGGTACAAGACTTGAAAAGAACTTAATTCAATAATAGAAACATTGGATGATATTAAGTTCACCTTGTTTCTTCTGGCCTAGGGTGCCTTATTGACACCTTGTTTATGCTGGCCTAGTGTGCCTTATACTTATTTGCCCCCGCCCCCCGAAATGGCCAAATTAATTGTCCAAAAAGTTTGACCTCTGATTTTAAGTCAACCGATAGGAAATACATGAAAGGTTTAAATACAGAGTGCACTGTATTGTATATCATCATCACTGCTACCAGTACCGGTATAAAGCCATTTTAAAAAACCAGCTTATAGAAATGCAATAGATTATAGATGGGTTAAAGAAATATATAAAGAGTAAGCATCACATTTTAAAACTACAGAATCAGAATATGCTTAATAATAATGTAAAGCTTTAAAATCCATACAAAATTATCTGCTTTAACTTTAAATAAAAATTCTAATGGATGGTATATGGTATCCAAATGAATGCTAACTCAAGCAAAGAAATGAATGAGACGTAACATGGATAATACTCAATCAATTGGATGAGACTTAATATGGATACCAGTAATACTCAAACAAAGAAAAGGAGGAGACTTAACGAGGAAAACACTCAAAGGGTAATAAGGGGAGAGACTGCAATCAGGTTAGCACAATATAAAACGAGTAAAAAAAAGAAAGTAGGTTTAAAGTTAAACCACAGGTTGACACCACATGGTATGAAGGTCATGTCTCTTCACAGCTTGAACCTTGCTCTGCCCCTCCACGTCCCGACCTTTCCCTTCTCCCTATTTCTGTCACAATTCATTTGCTGCCCACGGATACTACCTCTAAGCTAAGTGCTATTTTTTATTTTTCTAGTGTTTTTTTCTGTAGTTTTGTTCGCTGACGAAGGCTTCCTGCCGTTTTGTTGTGCTCCTTTTGTCAGTGTTAACCCTACTTTGTTTTACTCATGTTATATCACTCCAACAAAGAAATGCAGAGACACGTTTTTAAGATGGCTCCTGGCTGTAATAGTAATAGCTAAACAAATCACTCAAACAAAGAAATGCAGAGACACGTTTTTAAGACGGCTCCTGGCTGTAATAGTAATAGCTAAACAAATCACTCAAACAAAATGCAGAGACAGTTTTTAAGATGGCTCCTGGCTGTAATAGTAATAGCTAAACAAATCACTCAAACAAAGAAATGCAGATACAGTTTTTAAGATGGCTCCTGGCTGTAATAGTAATAGCTAAACAAGATTTAATTTCTTTGAATAATCTAAAGCTTGAACAATGACATTATGAAGGCATGATTTAAATGTAAGTATAGTTATGTTTACTAAAATTAATACAAAATGCAGATATTATCACATGTACATAACCCAAGCAAAACTTAATATTTTAAACTGGATAAAATGGCATTTTAATTAATGAAATTAAAAGCCAATCACAATTTTGATATGTATAACAGAACATGTAATTGCCTAGATCAAGGCAAAGTTACATATTATGATGGGATGGAGATAATGGAGCTAATTCATGATTTTTGATGAATAATAAATATTTATGAAATTTATTGAGATTATGGACACGAAAAATATAGCACACATTTTATTAGTTGAAGTACTGGTATATGATTACTTTTGATATTTTGTGGTAATTTCAGTCAATGTGAATAAACTTCACATTCATGTTATTTATTTTAAAAAGTAATCATAATGCTAAAAACTTTTGTTTATGGGAAAGCTTATCAAAAAATTAAATTTAAGTCAGACAATGTTGAAATCCATTATAAAATAAAAAATATTTTTTTTTTTGTTTACCTTATAAGCAAAAAAAAAAAAAAAAAATGAGGTCAACATTGGTTTCCAGAAGTGTCTTAAACATTTGACTGACAATGAATAGATCGGGAAGTACATGCTTATCTTATACAGCACTCTTGCCCCTAACACATTTTTAAAAACTGAATTATATACGGTACTGAACAAAAACACAACTTTAAAAAAATTGAATGTTTATTTTATCTGAAGGAAAATATACAGAACCTACAATTTTATATGAATCAAAATGTTGTAATGAGGGAGCCAAGATGAGTACAGAAATAACTAATTATTGCTGATGGAAACTCGTATACACTGCCTAATCTTCCCTCTGGTGCAAACAGTTCATTGTGTTAAATCAAGGTCATGTCATGAGAGATATGACACAGTTACAAGGTTCCCAATGCCTACCTTCTTTCCTTTGCTTGGTAATGTTAATAATAGCTTGATGAACCACAATTATACTAGTTGTCTTCTGACACAGAGATAAATGTTACAGGACAATGAAATGGAACTATTGGCTCGATTAACTAAATAGTCATTGCATTGCATATACCGAGTCATACAATTTACAGAATAAAAAGCATCTGTGCAAAATTGGTTACATGTGTCTTGGTCAGGATAGGCAAATAATTTTTCTTCATTCTACACAAGGATTTAATCAACAATTTAAAGTTTCTTCACATAATTCTTTGTAGAAACTAAACCTAAGAATATGTTTAAAATATATGTTCATTAATTAAAACTTTGCT